TCAAGCATGGAAATGTAAATTAAATTTCCCCTATGTCTATCCATCAAATAATGAACTCTCCCCTGAAGAAAAGCCATATTTTTCTGCCTTTATTAAAGTACATTCAACAATCTGAATCCATTACTATTTCTAATACAAATTAAACCCAAAATACATTTTGCTAATGGGGAAAAAAAAAACCCCACCCCAGGGATTTCTAAAGCTGTCCAGCACCATTGGAATTGAGGCACTCAAAATCAGTCCCTCTCCTTAACTCTGCTAGAAGATAAATCTCCATTAAAACCAGTCTTTGCTTGGAGGCCTGCAGAGAAAGCTGATGAAGCAATCAGATCTGAAATGCATTTGTTTGTGTTTACAGTAATTGGGAGGGGATTACAAAATATGAATTTTATGAAGATCCAGACCCAGAAGACTTAAAAGTCCTCATTTATCTACAAATTGTTACATAAACAAAGGATGTAAGAAGTTAGATAAAGTAAAGGATGTTAAGGACAAGGAGGGAGAAATGACTTGATCCTGAAGTGCTGACATTTACAGGAAGCACCTGTTCTGAGAACAATACTCACAGCTCTGATAAAAGAATAACACTCTTTTTTGAAAGTGAGAGAATGCTCCTAGCAAGGGGAGTTTCAATGAAACTCTACGTTGACAGAGTCAAAAACTGCCCAAGAAAGAAGTAGCATTTTCCTTCTTTCCTTTTCAGAGATCCATTCTCTTCCCTGGACAGGGTTTTCCGGACATAGTCTTGAGCACTTGTGCTTCCCAGGAATATATGAGGAGCACTTTTCCCAAAAGAAAAAAAATCTAAGAATAAAGTTTAAAACCAAGCCACAGTATCATGTACTCCCAGTGCAGGTACTGTTTGTTGTAAAAGAAAGACTGATAAGGCCGGGGTTGTAGCTCAGTGGCAGAGCACTTGCCAGCACGTGTGAGGCACTGGGTTCGATCCTCAGCGCCACACATAAGAAATAAATAAATAAAGGCATTATGGCCAACTGCACCTAGAAATTTTTTTTTTTAAAGAGAGACTGATAAAGGTCACTGCAGAAAAGATAACACTGAGAGAAATTCTAGACCAAAGTCCAAGCAAAGACCAAACGTTTCTCAAAATCATCTGTTATTTTGTACCTCTGCACTGCAGTAAAACTGCCCAAATTATAATTTTTTAATGAATAAATAGCAAATGTGGAACTATCTTCAGTATCACCCCTGTGATTTAACACTTCAATATTTTCTTTAGCCCTAGTATAAGACCAGGTTTCATTCATTTTCAGAAACAACAGTTCAGTAATCAAAAATGAGATCTACTTCCAGTGAAGAAGGAAATGATGCTTTCTGCATCTTCTTCTTCAGTATTATTTCTAATAATATTAGCAGTTGTTCTGTATTGAGTACATAATAGGTATATTACATACTGATTTCAATTTCATAACTGCCTGGGGAAGTTGGCTTCATTATCTCCATTTTAACGATAAGCAAATGGATGCTCAGAGCAGTTAAATAAATTGCCCAGGATCACAAAACTAGTATCAGAATAGTTCTAGAACTCAAACTCAGATGTTAAGACCTAACCTACACTTCCTCTCCAGAAAAACAAAGCCTACCACCTCCCTGAATTGCTCTTCTAAGAAACAAAGTGACCTGCCCCCCCAACACACACACACACTCCTCTCCTTGATTCTTAGACCAAATTTACCCACCCATTGGGTCACCTTTCATTGGAGAAGAGATCCACAGATGTAGATAAACTTTTATCTCATTTGATGATAGTGCTAATTTCTCTATGCTGGTAGAGGATAAATGTTTATATAAAGAACTATTGTAGCTGGATACAATGGCACACCCCTGAAATCCCAGGGACTCCGGAGGTTGAGGCAGGACAATCCTCAGCAACTCAGCAGTCCCTAAACAATGTGGCAAAACTGTATCTCAAAATAAAACATAAAAAGGCCTAGGGATTTGGCTCAGTGTTTAAGCACCCCTGAAATCAATCTCCGGAAAGGAGGGAGGGAGGGAGGGGGGGGAAAAGAGAAAGAAAGAAAGAAAGAAAGAAAGAAAGAAAGAAAGAAAGAAAGAAAGAAAATACTGTAGAATCCCATCCATTCTTCACTATGTTCCCTTAAATGACTTTTTAAAGATAGTTCTTAACTTTATAGGAATTTAGTTAGTTGTGTTTATATTTGGGTGGCAGAATCATGGGTGATTTAGGTTTCTTTCTTTTACTTCCAGTATTAATCAAGTTGTAAGCACCAAGAATATATTGCTCTTACAACTAAGGAAAAAATACAGTAAGTGTCCATTTTAAGTATTAAGTATTGACACCCTAAAATTATTTTTCCCTTATACTTATTATTTCCCTTTTTCTTAAAAAAGAAAACATTCACTGAGCCAATATAATCATGGGCCCCAGCCTCCTTTGCTGACTGAAAATGGACAGTGGTAGCATGACCCATTTCTAGGCCTACTCCAGAAAATCCTCTTATATGAGAGACTCTGTGCTCTTCCCCTACAAATTGGGGAGCCATGTTTTGATGATGATTGAGCTAAATATGGAAGGAACCTGGGTGTCTGAATCCCACTAGGAAGAGCATTCAGGAATGCCATTTTGGACTTTACATAAATAAAAATTAAATGTGTGTTATGGGGGTGCTGGGGTTGTGGCTCAGTGGTAGAGCCCTTGCCTAGCATGTTTGAGGCACTGGGTTCGATTCTCAGCACCGCATATAAATAAATGAATAAAATAAAAAGGTCCATTAACATCTAAAAAATTTTTAAAAATAAAAAATGTGTTATGAAAGTCACTGTGAATTTGAGTTCCTTTGTTACACTACCTAATCCATGGCTTTAATTAACATATTCCAATTTTTACTGCAGAAGGGTAAGAATCCACGCACCTTTTTCAAAGATTCCTTCTGCTTCCAGAACAGAGACAGTTAGGTTTGACATGGTCTTGAACACCTCCGCCTTGACAGTGACCTGTGAGGGGCTATGTTCCAGAAGCTCCACCCCAACAGTCATATTTCCTCCAGGCCTGATGATCCCTGGGGCTGTCACCAGAAAACGAGGCCTAAAGCATTCCCAACAAGGGAAAAGACAAGTTTTTATCCTCACATCTTCATTCTTTTGTGACCCTACAATATCATAAAGAGGGAGACAGACTCTCCATACTGTCCTTATTGCAGTTTTACAATTGACGTTGCCCCACCGCTCCATTTAGCAATGCAGTTAAATTCTATGAAACAACAGTAATTCCCAAAACACTATGATAATGCAGTAATCCATGCATTACTATTAAAGGAAGGCTTGTTATTATTTCCATTTTATAAACCACAAAGAGCACAAGAGGAGCTGAGATGTGAAAGGCTTACACTGGAGCATGCAGAACTTATAAGCAAAGTAGAAGCCTCCAAGTTTCTACTTTACAGATTAACTTCATCCCAGTGTGATTGCTTTTCTTGGCTTAAAAAAAAATGATTAGGATTTTGCCCGTTTCTTATTCAAACCTTTATACTTGGGCATCCAGCCAAGAAAAAAAAAAGAAAAGAAAACATTGATTGAAATATACCATCTGAAAATAAACTACAAGTGGTGAAATTTCCGGGTGAAACAGAGGGGAAAAAAAAAACACCTCACTAAGGTAGTTCATTATCTGCTAATTTGCTAAATCTACAGTTTAGGGATCAACTACGAAAATCTTCAGGAATGGGGCACTATTATCTTAAAGTTCTGATCTTTCTTAGGAACACATACTTCAGGTACTTGAGCCCCACTTTGACAATGCCAAAGTTGAGACATCTTGCTTAGGAAAAAAAAATAATTATCCTGTCTTTGAGAGAAGGCAGCACATTAGTTGGAAGCAAAAGATTGAGAAGCAAAAGGCAGAGGCAACATGGGCTAAAAATAAAATTTTTTTCTTTATAAAGTTGTTATAGCCATAAAGACGATTAAACATTATGGGTGGAGAATGCAATTGTCCCAGAGACAGCCACCCTGCAGCGACAGGATCAAACATCCAGGCCAAGGTCTGGCTGGGGACTGCGACCGCGCAGCCGCTGCCACTTCCCGAAGCCCCGGCCCAGGCCCATCCGCGCCGCGCACCCTCCCCGCGCGCCCGCGCTCCTACCCGGGGCCCGCGGCCAGCGCGGCCGTGCACACGCAGAGAAGGTGGGCAGCGGTCAGGAGCGGCGGGCCTGGCATCTCGGCAGCGTCTGCTCGTGGGAAGGTCGGCTCCTGGGCAAATTCGCAGGCACTGCGGGGTGTGGCTTGTCACCTCCTCTCGAATTTTATCCCCTGACTCGAGTTTAGCAATCTGAAATGGGCGCGCCTAAAAGCGGAGTGAGAGATCTAAATTGAGACGGGACTAGGTGGCTCCACCCTTCCCACCCGCATTACAATGGCGCTTCTCTCAGCTTTGGCAAACTTCTCCCATCCAGGGGGTTAGAAAGCGGTCTCTAAATGCGGTCAGCCCAACCTGACCCCGCCATCCCTGCTCTCCGCGTAGACCTGAGGGCGCCCACTTCCCCGGCCCACCGGGTTCCCAGGGCTGTTTACACTAGCGCTCTTCCAACGGTGCCCGGAGTGAATAAACAAGCCCATCCCTTGTGAGGAAAAATTCATAGCAACTATGTGAAGTGGAAAAAAATCAATCATTGTCCTCCAGACTATGAGTCAGAATTTTAGAGAAACGCAGACGTGCGCGCGGGCGCGGGTATGCACGCCAAATGGGTATATTTGGAGGGTGGCTGTTTGATGTATAGGACTGGGAACAGAGAAAAACATTTTCTCCTTAAAACAAAAACTGAAGTATATTGCTTTCCTCGCCGAAAACGCGTTTTGGTTTCTCCACTTTAAAGGAGGAGGGGGCAGTGTTGCTCAGTGGTAGAGCACTTGCCTAGCATGCGCGCGGCCCTGGGTGCCATGGGGGTTAAGGGGAGTGGTCCCCTGCCTCGTGCAACTCTGAGAAACAATTATCTGGGAAGAAGCTTTTATACTTACAACTCTCACTAAACATTTACTTCAGAAAGTATTCATTAGAACTGTAAAGCCTAGGGTAATTTGTCTAAACACAATTAGGGCCTGTTGGAATAAAGGCCAGTGGCCAGTGGTGGCGGTACTCAACCGTTATTGATCCCCATCTCTTCTCCTACTTGTCTGTAGTTCCTCCCCAGCCACCCTCTTTGGCACTGCCACCATCTTCAGATGACTCAGGTTTCACCATGACTACACCATAAAAGCAAGGAACTGCCAGAAACTGTTGGAAAACAGCACATTCAGTCCCTCACAACTTAAACTTTCTAATTCATGGAAAAGTTTTAGATGGTGACATTTTAATATGGGGCAAAATGCAAACGGAAAAGAGGTCAGCAAAAGAATGTCTCATGGCACAGTTATGTGCTAAATAAAGGAGAAAGTAGCACCTAGACCAACTGTGGTTTTTGGAGTCCAGGAACTTGCTTTCCTCCCTTTCCTGTTCCACCCTTTCTCACCCAGCTGAACAGCCTGCAAGCATCCCTCATTCCTCTCCCAGGGCAGCCTATCTTTAGTGACTGACCTCCTGTGCATGCCGGACTTGGGTATGGCCAGAAGTGTCAGAAGCTGCCTGTTCCTGATATAGCTGTTACTGTAGGGCTGGCCTCACCTATGTTGTTCAGAGAGGAAGATCAAGTTCAAGTGTGGGCAAAGTGCCATGGTCTAAATAGTGCTTCTCACTCTCTGATGTGTATGAGAATCACATTAAAATGCAGATGTTGATTCAGCCGTACAGGATGTGGACAGAGATTCCTGCTTCACATCAGCAGACAGTGGATCATGGAGATTCTACACATAGGGACAATTTGGGGGCACTCAGATGAGCAAATGAAGTTGAGATCATTAAGATAATTCTCAAGCTTCCCCCCACACACCTTTTGTGGTGCTGGGGATTGAACCCAGGGCCTTGTGCGTGTAAGGCCAGCACTCTATCAACTGAGATATATCCCCCGCCCCTCAAGCTTTCAATTCAGAGCAGTAGACAGTAAATTCAGGCAAGCAAATATAAGCAGGACTCCAAAAGACTAGTTGATAATGTTGCATTACAAGAGGACCTACAGAAAGATTCAGAACCACCTACTTATTTTATGAAATTAAATCTGTGTAGATTTTGAACTGATGCACCCTCCCAGTTTATGCCTTCCTTCTCACAATGCACATTTTTTAAAATTTTTCTTTAGTTATAGATGGACAAAATACTATTTTATTTACTTATTTTTATGTGGTACTGAGAATCAAACCCAGTGTCTCACACACGCCAAGCAAACACTCCACCACTGAGCTACAACCCCAACCCCCCCACAATGCACATTTGTTGAAAGTTTTAAACTTACAAAAATTTAGATGTCTGGGTTCACATAAAGATGATGCTATTTCAAACTTGGTACAGAATAGCTACACAATTTAAAAAAAAAAGGTTAATTAAAAATGTTCATCTCAGAATTTTGGTTTTCTTAATTAATTTAAAAAAAACTTAAAATAGCCTGAACATCTAACAATAAGAGATTGGGTTAAATAAATGACTATGTATCCATGTCATACTATACTCTGAAGTAATTAAAAATCATGGTGTTGAATTATAAATATTTATGATATATTATTGAGTGGGAAAAGTCTGTTGTTTGTTTTTTAAAGAGAGAGAGAGAGAAAATTTTTAATATTTATATTTTAGTTTTCAGTGGACACAACCTCTTTTATTATTTTTTTTAATGTGGTGCTGAGGATCGAACCCAGCACCCCACGCATGCCAGGTAAGCGCGCTACCGCTTGAGCCACATCCCCAGTCCTGGAAAAGTCTGTTTAATAAAATAGAATTTAAGTAGGATTTCATTTTCATAAAAATAAAGTGTACATTCTCATTATAGTTATACATATTGAAGATTTGAAAGGTGTTCACCAAAATCTTATCAGAATCCTTGTGATTCCTGTATCTGCCATATTTCTGATGATGAATATGTATTATTTTTCCTGTAGGAAGAAGAAAACAAAATGATGCTGCCTTAGTAAACAGTCTTTGAGGATGTATCCTAGAAACTCTTGAGTAAAATTCCTTTTTTTTTTTTTTTTTTTTTGGTATTAGAGATCAAACCCAGGGATGCTTAACCACTAGCCACATCCCCAGCCCTTTTTATTATTTGATTTTGAGCAGGGTCTTGCTAAGTTGCTTAGGGCCTCACTAAGTTACTGAGACTGATCTTGAACTTGCAATACCCCTGCCTCAGCTTCTCAAGTCACTGGGATTACAGGCATGCACTATCATGCCTGACAAGTTCATTAATTTTTAAATCAAAAATATTATGTGTGTTCTCCCATGAAAACTGAATAGTCTTCAAGATAACAACCCCACACTGTTCCCATGTCCCTTCAGAACTGTCTTTAGTTTGTGGCTCAGGAACAATGGCAGACTGTTTGAAATGAGACAGACAGATACTAAGAAATCCTTGGAGCTGGTAATACAGACCATATAGATAATTTCCTAAAGTCACCATTCATCAGCCAAGGGATGAAAGCTAAATATAGATAACAACAAAGAAAAACTGATAGAGGGGGCTAGGGTTGTGGCTCAGTGGTGGAGTACTTGCCTAGCATGTGTGAGGCACTGGATTCAATCCTCAGCACCACATAAAAATAACTACAACTAAAAAAATTTTAAAAAAACTTATAGAGAACTGAAACTCAAGCCCCTCTTACCACTTCCAACTTCAGTGTCATGGGTAACCTGCAGAGAAGCTGCATATGTGTTTGGGTCACAATTCAGACAAACTGAAGGAGGAGATCCTCAGAGAACTTCAGCAGCTGCAGGGCTGAACACCACCTCACAACCAAAAAGTGAGCTAGCACTTGCTACAGCAAGTGTTCGTACCTGCCTTGCTCTCTTCCTACCTTGATCTTTAGAGGGTAAAAAGATATATAGCTCTCCTTCACTTTTGGCTTCCAAATTCATGCAAAATGTCCTATGGCCAACATGATCTAGAAGCACAAGCAAAGGGAAATCTGAGAAGTTCAGCTCTGTCTTAGAGAAGATGGCACAATACAAAGCCACCAAAGATCATGCCTCATCTCAAATTTTAAATTTTTAATTACAATGTTTCATCATGAGTAAAACACACATTTTTAACATTTCTGAACTTATAATCAATGGCACTTGGCATCCACATATACCCCCTTAACGATTTAACTTTAAAAAATAGAAAAATCATACTTTCACCTAATGTGATACAAATATCCCTTTTCTCTCAATTGTGTTGTTGTTTCTATTTAATCACAGGCCCTCTGCGGACCAAGAAATGCCCCCAGGGCTTTCCTGTATATTCCAGAAATTCTATCTCAGTGACTAGTGGCAACCCCTTACGATAAGGATCATTTAATCACTCCAGTCAGTAGAGTAACCCCTTCTCTGGCTGTTGAGGCACTGTCAAGAGGAACCCCAAGTAGCCAGGTGGCAGTCTTAACTTTTGAATTTGACAGAACCATCATGGTGTCCCATAGTAGAAGCATTCCTGTCTTGGTGCTGAGATCTCTTAAGAGCCCCATACTGCAGGAATGAGAAGCAAAAGTTTCACAAGTGGATCACTAGAGGTAATAGGGGAACCACTTACTTCCATCCCTTTCTTCTCAGACCAGAGAAGTTGGCTTTAGGAGGAAAATATTCATTGCTGATTTTGAGCACATGCCACATTCTAGAATCTATTTTTTTTTTATTTTTGCAGTTCAAATTTTTAAAATTTCAGAAATACTATATATGGAATTAATGTCTACTTATATTCATCATGTATTTGAGATCCAGTTGGGAACTATTTATATAGATTTTTTTTATCTAGGGGCAGAAGGAAGTTCCTGTCCACTGGAAGACAAGGAATGATTTTGAAATTAATAAGTGATAATAACAGTGGTACATGGCCTTAACTTTCTATATGAGGGTTCAGAATTTGAAATTAGAATTCTGTACCCAACTAAAATATCAAGCAAAAACAAAGATGAGATAAAAACATTTTCAGAAATGGAATGGCTCAGAAACTTTGCTTTCTATGTTTTCAAGAAATTACTTTAGGAGGACATAGTGAACAAACCAAAGAAATAAGCCAAGAAAAAGGTAAAAGTATGTATAATCCCTGATAGTAATGAAGAAAGAATTTCTACTAGGAAGAACCCTGAGAGTAAGGTCCTGAGGGAAATAAAAGAAATCCTAATAGTATAAGATATGCACAATGGAAAATTGAGACTGTGATAAAGTAAAATAGTGTAATAAAAGGGAAGGGAATTTAGAACCTCAATGGGAAACAAAACACGGAATTGAAAAAAAATGTAAGCATGATTCATAGTTGGTTTTGCAGCAAAAAAATTATATAATCATATCATTGAAAGTGTTGTTTACTTACTTATTTATAACTTATAGGACAAAACACTGATAAAGAAGAGTGAGGAGTCAGATGTGATGGCTCTAGTCCCAGCTGCTCAAGAGGCTGAAGCAGAAGGATCACTTGAGCTCATAAGTTTGAGACTGGCCTGGGCAACATAGTAAAACATGAGTAAAATACACATTTTTAACATTTCTGAACTTATAATCAATGGTACTTTATAATTATAACTAGAAATT